GGATAATTTTAACAATCATCGAAAAACTTCTCAAAAGAGGAATTTGACTATCTTAAGGCTTATATCTTCAAAATCTACATACAAATTGCTGCATATACTGAAATTTTGAAAATTTTATGACCATGTTAATTATTTTCTTAGAGCTCAGAGAACATGCAAAAATGTCCAAAAATGAGAAATTTTTTGACATTTTTACATAGTAATAAAAATTGACGATTTTGGACAATAAACCGATTTCATTAAAACTACTGTTATTTACTAATTAGAAGACGTAGAAAACGAAAATATAGGCCATTTACACAGTTATGGTTTTAGATGCAGGCATAGTTTTAGCCATCATCGAAAAGCATCTCGAAAGATTTCCTCTATACGGGGGAAGACATATTATCGAATGACTCAACCGCTTGTTCTAAAATACAATCTTAAAAAATCGTACATTTTCTTTAAAGAACTTATTGATCGCTAATTAAGTAAAGTTTAAGAGATTAACGAGGGAATCATAGAGTCTGGGCCCTATTTTAAACATTACCTCCGCAAATTCGAACGCAGAAAAGAAACAAAAGAACGTATTAAAGTAAGCGGATTTTTAGGCAACAAGCCATATAAATTAATAAGAAGGTTAGCGATAAAAAAGGAATGCAAAGCATAGTATCGCATCGGCGGGAGCTTAATTATTCTTTGATCGGTTAGTCTGGGTCTTCAGATTCTGGAAACCTTGCAAATTCATCTTCCCAATTATTCAAATTAAAGGCACACTTTAAGCTTTCTGCTGTCTTTAAAAAATACCGAGTACCCCGTAATTATCAAAAATCATTATATATAGGGTAGTATTATCGGTAGGTTGCGAACGCCTTCTTTGCCTATAAAAGCATCAACAAAGGCACAACGCCAATCTAGCGTATATTTCTGGAAAGGCCTGATAACGCACATGAACAGCTTAAACCTTAATCCATGGCTGTATTAAACAAGGCGGCATCGGCATACGGGGGCAAGAACAATTTCCAACGTATCGGCCTCCAATTCAGCGTTCGAATATCGGGCGCAGCTCGTGATTGTTTTCGGAGCTGCCCTGTATAGCGGGGATTATACATAAGTGAGTTTAACAGGTTTTTAGTTGTAGCCGAGGAGAATGGGAGAGAAGGAGGCCTAGAGCGAGAGAGGAAGCGCAAAGCAGCGTGCGACCCCAAAATATCGGAGGATTAGCGGACGTCTGATCCGTAATCTCAGCTTAGCGTAGTCAAGGCGACTTGTGTGTAGTTCTTAGTTCTTATGACGGCAAAAAGAAACCTAAGGGACTTTAAACGGGGCTTTTAATTCGTTTGTTGGCATTAGACGTTGGCTAGCCAGCATATTTTCTTTCTTTCGCACTTTCGGTCAAGAGAACTTGAAAATTTTACTTGCGTCGTGATTGTAGATTGTATGGGAGGGGAAAAGTTCATCACCTCGACCTTATAGATCTATTGTGTACCTCTTTTTTGGCTTATAAATCATCATGTAGTCTCAATATTTGAGACTGTTTTACAGAGGTTTCTCCCTCCAGAATCAGTAGTATCAAAGCTCATAAAACGAATGGTTGTCGTCTCGGCGCACTCAGTGATGAGTTGTTCTGGTGTTTCCCCATTTTCTTCACAGATTCTGCATTCACTGTTATTTCTTAGCTTCGATCTAGTGAGGTGTTCATTGAGGAGACAGTGTCCTGTTAAAAACCCCGTGACAATTCGAACATTGTTAACCCCTTCGTAACCCCTGAGGAATTTCTTCGAGTGTCTTAAACCGTTGGAGGATTCCCATTCCAGGTTACGGGCGGAGTCTTCCAGGTTCTTCAGTTCTGCTTTAAGTTGAAAAAAAAACGTGACAATTCAAAAATTGTTCTTACTTAAATAAAGGAAAATCTTTGATTTTTCTCGGTCGTAAGTTCTAAGAAATTTCTTCGAATGTCTTAGATCGTTGGAAAATTCCCATTCCAGTTTACGGATAAAGTTTCCCAGGCTCTTGAGTTCTGCTTTAAGTTGGTTTTTATTCCGTATTCTAGTGTTTCCCCATTTTCATCACTGAATCTGCATTCGCCGTTGTTTCTGAACTTCGATCTACTGAGATTTTCATTGAGGATACAGTTGATAACCCCCGTAACAATTGGAAAATTGTTCTTACTTAAATAAAGGAAAATCTTTGATTTTTCTCGGTCGTAAGTTCTAAGAAATTTCTTCGAGTGTCCAAATAACCTAACCTAACCAGGCTCTTGAGTTCTGCTTTAAGTTTTTTATTCCGTGTTCTGGTGTTTCTTCATTTTCTTCACAGAATCTGCATTCGCCGAAAATTTCTTACTTAAATAAAGGAACATCTTTGATTTTTCTCGGTCGTAATCCCTGAGTGTCTTAGACCGTTGCCGGATTCCCATTCCAGGTTACGGATGGAGTCTTCCATGTTCTTAAGTTCAGCTTTAAGTTGATTTCCACTTGCGAAGCAGAACACTTCTGGTCCATTTAGTGGAGTGTTCGCTCCTTTTCTACGCAGATAGTTTGCTTTATTTACAGTTTGCACTGCGCCGTGATATTTGAACGACTCTAAAAATACACGAGATATTAAAGTAAAAAAATAGGGCGGAGTTAATATTGCTTTAGCGGGCGTTGGGGGATTATAGCCGGGCTTATTTTTAATATATTCGAGTTGGAATTTTTCGATCGGCGATTACCTAAATGCTAATCCGGTGCAAGGTTTAATCTGCAGCTTCCCGTCTCAAAGCAGACGGAGAGGCCGTGGCCCCCTTAATCCGAGCTTTCTCTAATTCCCTACCTTTAATGCCTAATCCAGCTTTAACTGGCCTACTCATGCGTTCTGGATCGGCGGTCGCTCTCGTTAAATACACAACTAGAAATAATCGTGATATAAAACAGCCTAAAATCATGTGTATATGGTACCTCTGTGGTCGGGTCATTTCTAAAAAAGAGTTCGGGATCAAACCACAGTATAAGTGTAAAACACGTGTTAAGATTAAAAGTTTATATGATTGGTCAAAGAGAATAACTCATTAATAAAAGACGATTATCCATCATCTTTTCAAATTCTATACATACGAGGACTTTCTATCCTCTATATAAGGGTCCTCGTATTTATGGAATTTGAAGTTGTAGATATTGTTTTCATTGTGTGTATTCTGGGCCTATGGTTTGTGGTTTGTGCTTCGTTTAATGTTTTGTCAATAAAAGATGGTGGATAATCGTTTTTTATTAACGAGTTATTGTCTTTGTTTGTCTTGTTATTTGTCTTGTATTTTAATCTTAACACGTTTTTTACACTCATGCTTTGTGTTTTGAAAGATATTCGTATGCTATATTATATTGTTTTCCTAAAAACAATATAACATACGAAAATCCTTCAAAACACAAAATACCCTTCGATCCACTAAAAAATAAACAAAAATGTGATAAACAAAATACCATGCGATTTTATTGGTGAAACATCTAGACTGTTCGAAAGGATAATTAAAAAAAGGGCAATTTTCGCAAATCTAAGATTTGTCAGCATTCATAGATCACAGGACACAGAGGCCACAGTGTATATTTGAACAAGGCAAAAATTGTAACGAAAGAACCAATGTTTTAATCCAATCTAATATAAATAAATGTAAAGCTGAAGAATCTGTAAAGGTTAGTAATGTACAACACATCGCTTCTTTGATTTTAATAAACATAACATAAGTAAAAATAAAAAAAATATCGTATACAGAAAGTTTAAGCTCGGTGGTTTTGCCTCATTAAGTAATTGTTATCAGGTTGTAATTGTTAATTTTAAGTTTGAATTCACATATTGTCATCAGCGCTTTTTAATAGACGTATCTCCTAAAAACGAAGGTTTTCTTGAATAGCTGTATTTTGATATTTTAAATATATTTTTAATTGGTTTCTGAAAACATGAGGGGATATATCTCCTGAAATGTTAATCATTTTTATACCGTATAATCGAAAAAAAACGGCGTCCAGTTGGTTTGGAAATGACGATCGATGATATTCCCCATATAATTTTACATATAAAATGACAGCGATCTTTATTTCGTAGCCATCGCTGACACCGTTTTTTTTTCATCATACGGTATATACTAGTAAAAACACACTGACAAGCTGGTTTCATTTTAGATTCAAAACACTGGTGTTAACACAAAAAATAACTTTTTTATTTTGTAGATTTTCTTCCAAACACGAGAAAACCAGAATTCTCCCCAAAAAATTAAATATCCGACTATATTGCCAGGATGACAGCGATATATGAGATCCATTCGGTTTTAGATAAAAAGTCCCTTTCTCAAATTTCTTCTTATCTAATATATTATATTATAATGAATAGAATCACTCCATTTGGCGCTCATGAGGCTGGAGGCATACAGAAAGAGCAAAACTGTTTTAGTCAAAAACTTTATGTTTCGAAGAGAAACATAATATCATAAAACGACGATCCAACGCTCGAAGTCGATCATCCTGACTGTGACTAAACGAGCCTAAACCCACGGTTACACAGAAAGCGAGTAAAGCGTATTTTTTGTATTTTAAGAAGCTCTATACCTTTTTGTTAGGGCCACTTCTCACTTACAAAATAATGTAAATAAACCCCACAATTCTAAAAAAATACAGACACATTTTGCGTCTAAAATGGTATGCGTCTAAATATGCCTGATTTTATACGAAAATAGCGAACAAGTGTGATGCTAATTTTCACAATTTTTTTCGGAGAATATTCAGATTGTACTCGTTTAATTTAAATGAAAATCATTATTAAAAATTGTAGCACTACTAACTAACTATATTTATCGCACAATTTGCTGGTACTAGGCATTGTAAAGTGAGTTGGGGAAGAATAATAACTTAGGTGTTTTTTCAGTGTATGTTCGTGTTATTATGTTTCTAGTCCCAAAGACGCTTTTGACGCTTTCCACGCTAAATCGTGTAAAACTGTATTGCTATTTCTGTATTCCAGGTTTAGCTTATAAGGGTTAAAAGTCTACTTACCGGTGGAGGACTCATCTTTGATCGACTGGGGCGACACGGTGTTGTCCAGGGGAGTGGAGGACAGGACTGGTTGGGGAGTCGATGCCCTTTCTGCAGAATCCCGGCTCGTGCGCCCCGTTACCGATGAGGGGGGTGTCTTGTTGGTTCTCGTCAAAGCCAGGGCCTGGTTCTGTAACAAAAAAATCGCTTTAACACGTTTGCTACCAAGTGGCTCACATAATGAGCCACCGCAAAATCTCTGGTAGAGATCTAATTTTTTTTAAACGACGGGATATGTGATTAGACGTTTGCTATTTTAACTTGGTATATGGAAGCTTTGTCATACGTGGTCTCAGTCTAAGTTTCTTCGTTATTGTTTTGTGCTGTATAATTTAATTGATTTGCTTATCTAATAGTAGTGTTTTTTTTTCGTTTACTGGTCATAGATTATAACCAAAAATCCTTGCTTACAGCTATATCTATACTAATATATAAAATCCTTAAGTGACTGACATACTGATTAATCACGATCCTGCTCAAACCACTCAACGTAAGAAGCTCAATTTTGGCATACAGGTTGATTCTAGAGTGTAGAGGTTCGATAAGAAGGGATTTTTCGAAATTCCAGTTCCAAGAGGGTGAAACCACCCCTCAAATATTACAATATTTTTTATTTAAAAAACGGTCAAGTTTCCGAAAAAACGCTTGAACACGTATATTTTATTTTGTTTTTTTACATATTTTAAGATTTTTTAAAAATGTATACAGGGTGTTTCGAAAAATCTGGTCATTGATTAATTACGATCCTGCTTAAAGCGCTTGACGTATATAGCTGATTTTTGGAAAACAGATTGACTTTAGGTTGTAGAGGTTCGATAAGAAGGGATTTTTCGAAACTCGAATTCTAAGGGGGTGAAACTATCCCTCAAATATTAAAATATTTTTTATTTAAAAGCCGGTGAGTTTTTCGGAAAAACTCTTAAATACGTATATTTTATTTTGTTGTTTTACATATTTTAAGATTTTTTATAAATTTATACAGGGTGTTTCATAAAATATGACCACTGAGTAATCACGATTCTGCTTAAACTGCTTGACGTTTAAAGCTGATTTTTGGCAAACGGATTGATTGTGGGGTGTATAGGTTCGATAATGAGGGATTTCTCGAATCTCAAATTCCAAGAGGGTGAAAACGCCCCTCAAATATATTTGTTTCAATATTTGTTTGTTAAAAAACGGTTAGTCTTTCGGGAACACGCTTGGACAAGCATAATTTATTTGGTTTTTTTACATATTTTGAAATTTTTAAAAAAACCATACAGTGTTCCAAAAAGTTGGGTAATTTCTTAACCACGATTCTGCTTAAACTGCTTGACGTAAAAAGCTTATTTTTGGCAAACGGATTTTTCGAAAGTCAAATTCCAACGAGATGAAACTACCCCTCAAATATTACCAAGTTATATAATAATATCGCCATATTGTTTTTTCTCATGCTGACATAAATGTGAGAAAATTTTATCCAGTTTGTATGTTAATGGAAATTCTTGCTTTGCTTTATCATCACCATTACAAATGATTAATTCGACGCGAACGAAGTCGCTGGTACACGCTAGTTATTATATATGTTATATATTAAGTTAAAAGAGAAATGTTGTATATAGTGATTTTTATTTATTTTTGTTGCCTTTATTCCTTTTTATGTTTATAGAATAAGCTTTTTTAAATTCAGAAAAAATAGTGAGAGAATATAGAACGCAGATGGTTTGGGAGGGGGGTTAATCACTGCGACCTTAAAGATCTATTCTGTGTCCCTTTTTTTGAGTTATAACTCATCATACAGTCTCAGGGCTTTTACAAAAGCCAGTATTTGAGACGGCTTCACAGAGGCTGGTTCTCCATCTCCGATATCTGTCGTACCAAAGTTTATGCCACGAATGGTTGTCATCTCCGAGCACGCAGTGATGAGATGTTCTGGAGTTTCCCCATTTTCCCCACAGAATCTGCATTCGCCGTTGTTTCTTAGCTTCAATCTACTGAGGTGTTCGTTGAGGGGTCAGTGTCCTGTTAAAAACCCCGCGACAATCCGAAAATTGTTCTTACTTAAATCGATGAAAATCTTTGATTTTTCTCGATCGAAGGTTCTGAGAAATGTCTTCTACTGTCTTGGGTCGTGAACGAATACACCCTTGGTAGCAAACGAAATTAAAACGAATCCGATGAGTGTTCCCTGCAAAAACAAATCATGATATTCAGGAATTCATATTGTATTGTTTGACCTCACTTAACCCAGATTAGGCGCCGCGTAAAGACGCTCGCCGGTGTAAATAATTATCTAATTCTAAGATTTGTTTTTGTGCGTCGCCGTGTAGCGGCGCATGAATTCTCTCGTAACCCTCTCCTGACATCCCCCCTTTTATTCCGCTCCGCACGGAACGACAAGCAACTCGGCAGATATAAGAAGATCTGCATGACTCATAATTCCTTTAATCCTTATATAACAAGCATTTCTGTGCCCGATTTTTAAGCCCTGAGCATTCTTAGGCTTTGAAATTATTAACTAAGCTGATCAAGAGCAGCTCTGCCGTGCCTGCGTTTATAAAAATAATCTTCCGTACAGTCGTTTTGTACGTATACTTCTCGAGATTAGGTTTTCTGTATAATGTTAAAGCAAACAACGTTTATTATACCTTTTGTTTGGCAGGCTAATTAAGTAACTTTAATAATGCTTTTTCGAGGGATAACATAAATAGCAGCAACGGGAGTATTACGACGTCGGAGATAATACTTTTCCAAATAAATAGTCGGCTTTACCTCGACATCTCTTTTCCATATCATCCATATCTGCATCCAGCGTCTTAATCCTATGTCCAGCGTGAACACGACCTGGGCGATGCGGCTAACGAACCATAGAATAAGTGCAACAAATGCGTTTATGTCCAAAATGTCCACCAGATTTCATCGGTTGTCGTATGTGCCTATTTGCCTTTCTTTACATTCATAAAATGAAACCATTGCAACCAAATCTAATAATCCCCTACAAGGAAAGCAGTAGGAATCCAACAAATTTTTAAAGGATCATTTTGTTCTAATCCCTTATAATAACAATTTTCGAGTATTTTTATTGACTTATTAAAATATCTCGTCCAAATAAAAATAAATACAACCCTGTGATATATTCAAAGTTTGGGGTAAAAAAATAACACCAAGATGGCATAAAATGTTTGCTATCATAGTGTTTTTTTGCATGAAACTTGGAAACAGCTACTTTATACATTCCCTCAAACTTATTATTTCCGATCTCGATGATAGTAGATTTCGAAAAATATTGATAAAAAATACGGTTTCAAACAAACCAAGGTTTTATTAGTGCTTATAAATCTTTGCTTAGAAATCACCACATCCACATTCTTTGTCAACCACCCACCGGCCTTTGTACCGTAGATTTCTTTTGTCCCATATTATTTCTTATTTTGTGGTACGTTACGTTTTTCAAATTCCGAAATTAACACCTCCAAGTTTTGCGTGAAAAAACAAACGGTTTGAATTTTTTAAAAATGCGTGCCTTGCGGACAAACAAAATCGCCCGCAACGCACGCACGATGCAGCTACTTTGGACGTCCAATATAAATACACATGTTTTAAACACGACGTTCAGCGCATCACACGCACCGCATCGCACGCATCGCTCGGATCGTGTTTACGCTGGACATAGGGTAACTGAAGATGCTGGTCAGTACGGACTTAATAACAAAATAGCCGGCCTGTAATATCTGACTGCACGGTTCGTCCGAATAAAATAAATAATATATCAGGATTATCCGCAGTTCGTATTCAGCTTCCGGTGAGTGGGATTACCACTATTTCCGCAAGCCTGATATCACACATTATTATGTGCCGTACACGCCGAGTGAAATTTCGGCTGTATTAACTACGTTTTATCATAAATATTATTTCTATATAGCTTGTCGCTTTTTAAACTCGGCCAGAATTAAACGTCCATTTTTGAAACATATTTAAATTAAAATTTAACATTAAAATCCGGACGCAGATAAAAAGTAAACGGTAATCCATTATCACTGGCCAAATATTAATAATAATTTTATATTTTAAAATGGATTTTTAATTACGCAAATAATTTTATATTCCATATATTTTAAATGTATTTTATTAATTCACTATCAAAATCTATACTAAATATTATAATATCATAATGAAAAATCGGCGATTACACGAAATCAGAATTATTAAGAGTTCATTGAAATGCAATATTTGTTTTAACAATTATTAAATGAGGAGGGATGTTTTAGCAATTTTATTATTTAAAATTACGATTTTTGCTGCAAATGTGGCGTTTTAATTGTAAATCGGAATATGCATCTTGGATAGATACCTCATTATTACATTCTCCCCCTATGTAGATGTTTGTTTTGCGTTCATTCGACGGTTTTTTTAGGATTTCGCCTATTTAAATTAATCTCCGACAGCTACTGTTGTTGCTTTCGTTTCGCGTTATCTGTAATTTTATTTTAACTAAGATTAACATTTACAATGTACAAATAGCGACTATCCGTTATTGCGGCTAAATGTTGTACGGTTTACCAGCAGCTACCTAGAGAACTCGATGCTTTTTAAATATTCCACCAACCAAAAACAAATGGAAATAATTAAAAGTCTAACTACGTATTGTTTTTTATTATTTTTTCGCGCAATAATACAAAATGATCTTGTACTGAGCAGATTTTCTACATTTTATGTCAGATCAATTGAAATACACTGCATTAATGGCACTGTTTTAAATGCGAATGCGAACAATACGCAAAAAACTTCGTTATCGCCACGCCGGGTAATTTTTCATATTTTACAAATAATTTATTTATCCGATGGCTTTATAGAACATACGTGTATCGTAATCATGCATTTACATCATTTTAATCCAACCTAAAATAATTCCTCATTTGCATTTAACCAAGTTCCTCTCCTATACAAAAAATTACCGATATTTCGTTCGATCGCAGTTTTAATATTAGTTATGCAGCGCTATTTATTAATATCCATACCATTGACAGCTTATAATAAAATCGGTATACACTTGGAACGCTGTATTTCAGCATTTTATGTCAATTTGTTTTGAAAATTATGCATATAAACAAACTCTCTACATGGAACATTTTTTTTGGAGAATTTAGTTTTTACAGTTTGACTATGTATTTTTATCCCTATAAGTCGAATATCTTGAATTCGAAATTTTCCAAGTCTTTCTTACAGTATTTCAAGAATTTGCAGGTTCCTGATGAATTGTCATAGGCAAAAACTTGTTAGTCTCTGTTGCACGTATACACCGATTTTCATCGGTTGCAATAAATCTATTGAGTGGATCAGGGAAAAGCAGAATGTCCACTGGAGAAACAGACAGGAGCACAGGCATATCAAGGCGTTCATCCAAGAACCTAATTCTAAAACTACAAAGGAACAGCTAATGCTTAGCAGAAATAAAATGCGGGTTACTAGAGGTCTCTTGAGAGGACATATGACTGTTAAGCACTATCTGAACCAATCTCAACCTGTATCAAGGATTTTTTTGCCGCAGGCTCTGCGACAAAGATCCTGAAAGAGCCGAGCACATAAAATGTCACTGCGAGGCTCTGGATCGCAAGCGACACGTTCTATTGGGGGAAGCAAGAATAGAACTGGAGGGGTCCCATCCTATCATGGACCTGTACAAGTCGGTGCAGGGTACAGTAGAGTGAGTGTAGACATAGAAAGGGGACAAACACTATATGCCTCACAGAACCGCCTCTTAATATTGGGAAAAAAGTGTGTGTTAAAGATTGAAATGGCGAAAATACGCAAACTTATGGGAGAATTTGTGACACACTAGCAACATCGCAGAGCCAAGCAAAATCTGGACATCTTCAAGTCAACGATGCAGATATTTCTATCATGCAGTGTTTTTTCTAATAAATTTAAAAATTTTAGTTTGGAAATTAACTCGAATTTTTGAGTTGGGAAGGGAGGTTCTACTGTACATAAAATGTCGCGCGATTATGAAAACATTTAAATCTTTTATTTTGTCGGGGTCTTACTTTGTTGATTCAAATTTTCAAATCGGTATCAAAAATAAATAAGAAAATCTATAAGTATATTTATCCATATACATAAGATTAATCGAACATGCCGCTGTCGTACCGATAATAACTATTTTGATAAGAGGAAAGCCATCGAGAAATCTTGATTTTCGGCTTAACACCGAATCTGGAATCATTTTTGACGAATACCGTTCATCTTACTGTTTATTGACTTCTTTTACTTTCTGTTTTTTTCGTGCAATTTTTTTTTATTGCAAAATAGTTTTACGTTTCCTTGCATGTTTAGAGGAAACAAGTATGTTGCGTAGTTATATTGTTTTAATTTATAATAATCGACAGCTAGTCAAAAGTGTACGACACATTTTTCACTTCTTGGAAGTCAACCGCTAACAGTTACATTTATTGTATCCATTGGCTGGCCTACGGACGAATATTTTCATTATTTTTATGATCAAGGTTCCTAAAGCTGTTTTGCATTTGAAGATCGATTGCAATTGCGCCCGAGGAACATTAATATTTCTCTATATATTATTATTACACCTGCTAATGCATTAACCTATGTGAACTTATGGACCAATTAGAAATGCGATGTTATTGATGCTTTTTTTAATTTTAATTTGCCTGGAAGCAATTACTTTTTATTTAAAACAGTTTAATGGAAAATTAAGTATTAATAATTAGTTTCTTTAATAATCTATTTATTTAAATGCGTCAATACGGAATTGTAAACTACGTAGACCGCATACATTTAAATTATCATAAAATTATTTTAGCCCTCCGAGGTATATTAGTCGGGGGACTGTGCGCTTTTTAAGACTACCAAAACTGACTCCCCCTTTCAAGTATATTTTAAATAATGTTTTTTATTTTTTTAGGCCCTCATGTGATAAAAAAATTGACGAATTATTTTACGAAAACGACTTCAAGGTTTAATCATCGATTAAATCTGTAATAAATGTAAATAGATTTGTTAAGATCAACCTATTATTAGATAATTTGTGGATTAACCATAATTACAACACTCGAGAAGACCAGATAAATCTAATTGGAGATTTCGAAAACAATACCTTAGCGACCAATGTCAACTTTTGGGATTTTTTTGAAATCGTGGAAAATATAGTTTCAGTCGGACACACTGCAAAAAGATTCAGTTTTTATCCGTAATAACTAAATAAAATAACCTCAATTAGATTTAAATATTCGTTTACGTGTAGCGTTTAATTGGAAAAAAATGTATAATGGTAAAATATGTACAAAGTACATTGATACGTATCGAATTGTATTTTAAGCCGGAGCGGTAAAATATGGAAGAGTTATACAAGATAAATATAGCAAATGGAGTGAGTGAGTCGTCGGTGCAGTTGGAATTACGCCGCTGCGAATTCATTCAATCCACGTTAATGCCAGATTTGGTTAATCCGGGGTTAGCCGTGTATAAGTACAATGTATTAATACAGAAATCGATAGGTTGGGCTACGGTGCGTTAAATCATCAGGAAAGGATCATTTCCAAATTCACCGCATTCGACTTTTTTTCATAGAACGCCCGTGAGCATTTAAACATACATTCAAACGCTCCGTAGCTTATTTTTTTTAATGGTAAATGTCCGAATTGTAAAAAACGGATATATTAATAAAGAAATAATGTTTGCTTAAGTTTGCGACAGAGCGCTTTCCTTATTGCAGGTAGTAGTAGTAGTATAATTTATTTGTTCCAAAATACGCATACAGGAGTATATAGATATAATAGGTCTAAGTCCAAAGAAGTTATGAGAAGTTTTTGATAATAGAGAGTACTTTAGGAAGATCTTGACCATAAATAACAAGAAAGCAGAAGTAGGTTGAGTAGTTGGTCGGTCTCTTTAGATTGTTAAGTTAGTTTAGAGGGGTCCCGTTAATGAATGTTTTAAATTGGAGGCGAGATTGAGTGAAAAGGGGCTGAGCGCTGGCCAGCTTCTTACCTGCGACGAAACTTCTGAGATGGGCGCCCCCTTGATGCTGGCCGCCACCCAGGCCTCCGCGAACGTCTCCATGGCACTCTGAAAGTCCATCGCCATGGCCGGAAGGGTGTCCTGAAGCCACGACTCGCGAAGAAAGTCTAAGCTCGGGCCATGACGCCGACAACGTGACTCGGCTTTCAGCGTGCGGGCGCGCGAGTCCACTCCAAGACAGTCGGAGCGTCACTGAGCGGAGCGGACGCCGCGGCGAGCGCTCGCAGTCGGGCGCCGTGGCGCAGAGGCAGCGACGCCGGCGGCCGGCGCTCGAATCCGCGCCACCCCGCCCCGCCAAGACGTTTAGCGCTTTTTGAGGCGATCACCCGCTCTTTTTCTTAATGAGTGCGGCCGTGGCAGGATGGCCGCCCGCCGCCGCCCTGCCCGTCTCATCTTGCAGATCAATCGGCCGATCCTGCCGCTCCCCGCGGACGCCGCCGCTGCCGCGGGCTAAGCGCCTCTCGATCGGTCCGCGAAAATAAATTCTTCGAGAAAGTTTGAAAAGGTAATCCGACGCCTGCGCCCGCTCGGCTTTGCAGCGTCCAGACGCCGATGTGTAGGCGGGGTTTTCTCGGCGGATAGAGGCGGTTCGCCGACAAGGTATGTCCCACAAGCAACAAAGGGTTCAGGCAAATTATTCATCCCTCCAGATTTAGCTGCAAATTCGGAGCGTCGCGAACGCTCTCTCAAGGCTCATATGCTTCTTCCCATTTGTCCGCGATTTCCGACATGTTCGTTATCCGTATCCTTTTCTTGCTTTACGACGTCCTTCCACATTTTAAGCCCTACACTTTTCCGGAACCAGAGCTCGTTTTCGGAAACAAGAATTTCGGTACCACGCCTTTCTCGGTACTTTCGGTATCAGCTAATTTTTATTCAATGATAATGCAGTTCGTCAATCAGCAAGCAGGACATGGTTTTCAAAAGTAAAGTTGATAAAAAATTGAGTTTTATGAAGATAATCAAATTTTATTAAATAATCAGTCATGAGAAAATTAACTCGAACACAAACTTAGTGACAAAAAAACAAGGTGACTTAAAATTCACGTTAAATAACATAAACCAACTTAAATATATTAAAAAAACCATTTTTGAATTAAAAATGCAAAGGCCTATAAAAATATAACATGATATACCATACGATCGAAAAAACGGCGTCAAGAACGGCTAGGAAATGACAATCGATGATAATGTTGGCGAGTGGCGAGGTCAAGCCCTAGACGTCATTTACTTAGCCCGTACTCTTATTTTTTAATGGCGCTTACTGCCGTAAGAAAGTTGTAATTATTTTTGTAGTGAGTAAAATTTATTTTTTAATGGCGTAGTTTAAAATTCTAGAAAAAATATTTTTTTGGAAATAGATTTGTATGTCTGGAAACGTTCAATACTTTTTTAATCCTTCTATAATTATCATCGATTATCATACGGTATAACTAATATGAACAACACTATCCCAAAAAATATGATATTTAAGTTTAAATAATTGCTAATACAAATATTGCTAATACGGACATCATACGGAACGAAATATACTGGGAATAACCAAGAGAGACCGTAAAAGAATAGAGTGAATACGACAAAAGACCCAGGTACTCTAGACATCTATCATCCACAGAATCAAATCCCTCAAATAGCAATGGGCAGGACACCTGGCAAGAAGAACAGATGGAACACAAAAATTACAGCATGGTACCCACGAGGAATTAAGAGACCTAGAGGAAGACCAAACCTGAGATGGGACCATGATATTAGGAAGTTAGCAGGGATAACTTGGACCCGCATGACCAACAATACACAACAGTGGGCCCAACTACAAAGAGAGTATTTAAATATGTAAGGGAAGATACACCATAATTGGAAATGGTTGAATAAGCTGAGAATGATGATGATGATGAACTGCTAATAATTATTATAACAACTTCAACAAAGAAAAGAAGTATATAGGAACAATAAGAAATAGCATCACTACTTATTAAGAAGAGTTTGATTTCGATCGCTAGTAAGTATCAAATGATCGTAATGATTCTTTCATTATTGTTACTGCGTCCCAAAAGTACCGAGATTTTGAGTGGCGATGTTCTTTGATGGAAGAACAGGGATTAGATTCTTCGAGGTGGCTATCGGTCTGATACACTGCGATCTATCCAGATCTATTATTGTGGTCCTCTTCTTATCCTTAATATAAGTTACATTCTCCAGTCCTATTTTTGACACAAAGTCTAGCAACTTGGAGACTGAACCCTCCATGTAGCTCTCTAGCAGGCTCTCGCACCGACATAAAATATGTTCTGTCGTTTCTTCTTCAGATTGACACTACCTGCAAATGGCTTTGTCCGTCAATCCCATTAGCTGTAGATGCCTCTTTAGCTTACAATACCCTGTTAGTAGACCTATTACAGCTTTGACTGTTTTTCTGTCTTTGTCGTGAATTTTGGCGAATGTTCCGCTATAAACTTTTTCGCCTATTTCTGCCATGCCGCCACCAAAAAAAAAAGAACGGGGAATTGCCGGTACTTTCGAAACCGGGATTTCCCAGTTCTGAACCCTACTTAAGATGTCTCAATCTTTTGGCGGTGCAACGTGTCTGCAGTATCTCTGCTTCGGTCTTCTCATATTTCGCAACCTCCTTCTTATCGCTACGGTTTTAATTCCATGAAAATTCATTAGGGTGCTACACGCTATGTGATCGAACCATAACAGAACTCGCGTTCGCATTTAACTGTTTTCTGCAGCCAGTTGGGCGCAAAGCATTTAAAAAAAGTCCAGTGTGATAATTAGAATATCGTAAAGACGCCTAGACTTAATTAATCCCCTTTTCAAAGCAAAAATCAATTCGGCCAAATCAAGACATCTTATTTTCTTTGGTAAGTTCCTACATACATGGATTACGAGGTCCTGCTAATGCTACACGATATACACTTAATAAATTGAAATATCTTTTCTTTAAGCCCCATTTACACATAAAATTTTACCGTCAGTTTTACCTTTCGAACGATTTTTTCTTTCGAAACATTTTTGGTTAACTTTGTGCAAGTTTTCAAGGCTCTCAGAAGAATAGTAAACACAGTAGTAAAACATAACATTTTCAGTCACTGAAATATTTTGGTATTCTAAGAAACTGTATTTTTGTTTTCACAAGATTTTTCAGTTTAGATAAAATGTTACGTACAGGTCAAACTAACGCCTTTTTTCTACGCCTTTTAATTAGTAAATTAACAGTAGTTTCATCAAAATCGATGACCTGATCAAAAAGGACAAATTTCATGAGTGTATATGTAATATGTATGGAAAAAAGTTCAAAAATTGAGCATTTTTGGCTCTATTTTACAAGTTTTCCAGGCTCTCAGAAGAATAATAAACATGGTCGTAAAATTATGAAATTTTCAGTATTCATAGAAAATTTTATGTAGATTTAGAATAATTAATGGATTAACAGCTTAAATATTCTGGTTTTGAAAGGAACTGGATTTTTTGAACCCTTGTTTTCGCACGATTTTTCATGATAGTTAAAATGTGACCTACAGATTAAACTGAAGTCGTAAGGCCAAAATGGTCTATATTTTTGCGTTCTTGGCCTTTTTATTAGTAAATCGGGGTAGTTTCATTAAAATCGGTGAATTGTTTGAATTTCATGAGTATACAGTATGTATTTTTTATCATTGAAATTTTGAGAAAAATTCATTCTTTATTAAAATTTCTGCTGGTTCTAAAATTGTTAATCCCGTTTATATTTCCCCAAATTTTCATACCGTTTTAAAGAAAATTAAGAAAAACATGAAAATATGGTAGACTTTGAATTTATTGTTTGATTGAAGTCCTAAAAATCAAAATGCGTTTCTATGGTAATATCAATTCGATTACATTCTTTGATACATTGTTATTCACAGAATTTGAACTAATCTAATGTTTTTAGTCGTTTTAAAATGTTAAAGAAGCACAAAAATTTTTTAGATCAATGCTACGGAAAGGGTGATGAGAGTTATCGGAAAATATGATACTTTAACAACAGCAAAGAATATAACATTAATCAAAATTAATAATAACCATCTATCAAAGAATGAAATCGAATAATTGATATTATCATAGAAACGCGTTTGAATTTTTAGGACTTCTACCATATTTTCATGTTTTTCTTAATTTTTTCTAAAACGGTATGGAAAATTTCGGAAAGTAGAGGTAAACTGGATTAACTAGTTTAGAACAAAGTAAAGAACTTTTAGAACTTAGTAAATAACAGTATTTTTTCAAAATCATTAACCTGACCAAAATAGACCCTATACGCTATGTATAGATGGAGCTTTAATTGATCAAAATATCTCAGCTCTTTTAATTTTTAAACGTAGTTTTTGTAGCGATATTCAGAGTCTCGGTATCAGAAAAACTGTGTACGATACATGCTTATATACTAGAATGATTCAGTTATTAAGCATCCTTCTTTGGAGATAAGCGACAGATATTGTATGAAGAATGTGCTAATCAAGAATAGCTGATTTTGCATATTTTGACTATCACGCGAGATTAGCAGCGGCAAACATTGGGATTTAGAAACAATGATAGCTTTGAAACGAAGCAAGGGGCTTATTTGACAAATTCAGAACAATGTCTTGGCTTGTCACGAAAACCTAATACGATTAATGTGGTAACAAATATTTTAATTTCACAAATCCAGGCTGGTACAGAATTTCTAAGTAAATATTTGAAAAATATTAAATTTAGAAAAAATTACGTTCTCAACAGTAAACATAATTACGATAAGGAATCGATTAGCACAATAACCACTCCAGGATTTCGTATTAATTGATGATTATTCGGCTTTTGAAGTTTACCCTTTATCGGTAGATTAATATTTTTTGATAAGTAAATATTTTTAAATGCCATACATACAGATATGTTTCGACAATAATCTCTCGGTTTAATATCCACCGCTATCCGAAGGTATTTAATTTACAATTACACAGATTTAATATTATACAGAGAGCGACAAACAAGTATGTATGTACCTACTCCTTCGTATTTCGTTGATTAAATGGTGCAATTGTTGCGTCTGAAATAAAATAAAATCACTTCCGTTTTGGCATTATGCAATGCTTAATTTTATGGGTAAAATTGAATTTTGGACGTTATATTATCGATACTTCCAAACCAATTTACCTGTTGTCTGCCCAAAGAGTCAGTGATATGGGTGACATTGATAAACTGACAGAAAATAAAATTTGGTTGTGAGTTAAAATGAAAGGCACAACAGTGACTGACTTATATTCATAAAGCGCTA